CATTATCTTCGTTCTAGTGTTGTACAATGTCCGTTTACTACAATTACTATACCTGAAAATGGTACCGCTATAAAGCCGCATGTCTGTGCGTATGAAGATTAATGTTAATTAGTTAAACGTGCCTGCTTACTTACCTTTAATGGTTGAAATGTTGTTCGATCAAGAAAACTAGAATATAATTAACCGTACTTTTTTTAAACCGTAAAGAATGAATAGTGTTATAACAGTCGTTAGTAAGAAATTTGAAATAAAAATAATTACGAAATATACTTAAATATTATAACAAATTCACCAACTATTTTTAATTAAAATGCACAGTTTCCACTGGTTTCATTTAGGCAGTTTTGCTCATTAAGGCCAGTAATGAAAACAATTTACCATACAAATAGCTTTCAAAAGTATATAACTGAGCTCATTAGAAATAAATTAACTAATTAAAGGCGAAAAATGTTGAATGCAACATAAAATTTCCCATAAGGGAAATTATCAAAATTTAACCAAATATTTGTCATATGTTTTATATGTAAAATGTAAACAACAGCTGAGCTATAACCAAAGGCACTGAGGCAATCAGTATTCAACAAAATCTTTGTTTTTATGAATTGTTATATAAAATGCATATAAATAATTTAACATAATAATTATATATTTAAATTTTTTGTGTGATATATTATTAAGTGAATTTTATAAAAGTTTAGAAAAGCTATAAAAATGTACTATAAGCCAATAGTTTTCCTAAGGAATTCGTCAAACTTTCAGGAACGGTCGCAACCTATGGCATACAATGTTTTTAAAAAAAAATTAAATTAATTACAAACTTTAAGGATTTTTTGTCAAGAGAGTCAACAATTAGACTTCGAGAAGAAGGACACATTATACTATTGTCGAGCAATCAATTGTGCTCTTATAAAAACATTTTATTCTGCAGACTTTTCTCAGAAAAGTAAGAAACGCAAATAAGTTTTAAGATATATTAAAAAAGTTTTGACTGACAACAAATTTGTATCTGTGTTCAATTTAATTGCTGTTCTTATTTTTAATTTATCAAAGTTTATTAAAGTTTAAAGAAGAAACTTCAATAGTCAATTGAAGAGTTGATTGAATAAATGAATAAATTAATTAATATATTTTATGATATATAATAATAACGAATATGGGAGGATTGGAAGAATTTGGAGGAACTATCGAATATGAGGAAAATAATTTTTCAATAATTTAATTAATTAATTTATTTTTTTTGAATTATTTATTTAAAGTTCTGTGTTTTCTTGGCTAGTCAAAAGCCTTAGTACATTTTTTATTAATTTTTATAAATGGAGTTAATATTCGTGGATGTGAAATAATCTAAAAAGTTCTAGGACTTTCGGATACTAAATCTTACTCAAGTAATTAGACTTTTTAAAACACTTTCCCAAAATAAGTTTTTTTCAATTTAGAATTTTACAAATTTCATATACGGTTTTTTTTACCTTAAAATAGTTTTGTAAAGGAACTCGATAAATCCTAAAACCACAAAATTGAACACTTGCATACAAATGATAGTTATCAAACATATTTTGACATACTTGTGGTATAATGTTTTCTTCATTCTCTGCTTTGACTGGTGCATTTCTGGAAGGCATATGTTTTCGGAAATAAAATACAGAAACCAGCAAATTTGAAACTTCCATTTTCGATTGCATTTTCTTCATATAAAGTCACTGTAATGAAATATTTATGAAGCGCGGGGTGCAGATAGTGGCAGAATCAAGTGACAATGATTGCTATGGAAAGACATCAAAACCAATTTATGGCTTTTAAATGTGATTTTGGTTGTTCATATCAACGTTCTTTGCTGCGATGTTCATATCATTCGTATATTTGATACAGTAAGTAATATTTTCAGTAGATACATCCATTCGGTATGGCAACATGTTTTTTAATTTTCAAAAAAATTTCCAATGCTATTTTATACGATGCTTAACATGTATAGATAGTGTATTTGTTAATATTTTAAAGTAAATCCTTTCCAACCAGTAAGTTGACAGTATTCAATTTGGAAAACCATTCTGAATCAGACCATTGATTAAATTTAAGCTCTTTCTTCGCATTAAAGGGCAAACAGACAAGCAAGCAATAATTTGTTAAGTTAACACAAAGAATATATTGGGTTCTTGTAGTAATTAGACGATACCATAAGATATTTTTTGGCTTCATCTATTCTTGTGAACGACCATTCTTCTTTGGTAATTTTTTTTTGAAAACGAAGGTATCTTATACTTCGTTTCAGGAGAACCACAAAGTCATGCTCCAAGTTATAAAGCTTGGAAATACTTCAGATAATGTTTTTCTTTAGTTATTAAAAAATATAATTTATTTTAAATTTAAAAGTATTCTAATGTTAACTGAATTTTTTTTTAAATATATATTCAAATGTATTGTATGTATAAGACAATAACCAAAAATATTATTTTTGTTAATAAATTTATGTCCAATGGAATAAAGTCTCCTTAACAGTGCTATTAATAATAATATGTCACATTGCCATATGGTTTCTGAATCCTATTTAAAGCTATTCACACTCTTCGGTAGCCTATTTGAATTTGAGAATTTAATTCCAATCCCATTATTACTTCTGTGGTTCTAAAAATACATATAACTATAAAATTCTTGTGCTTATGATTTTGATTATGTGTTCATTTCAATGTTTTCTGATATTGATATTGACTAATCGTGTTTTTCCACAAGTAGCTGTACAAGCTTTTCGTGCTCAAGTTCCAGGTCCCTTTTTTATTTGGTTGGTGACACTAACAAAATCACTTGCCGTGCTTTATATTAGAACGGGGTTATAAATTACAGCTTTATTTGGAAACACAAGTTCAATGAATCAAAAGTTAACTTTTGGGATTGCATATTTTTATTATATATAAATTTTTATTATATATAAATTTTTATTATAATATTAACAATATTATATTAGCAATAAATATTGTATTTAATTTTCACTGATCTATTTGATAAGTAAAGACTTTTCCGTTTAATGTTGTATGAAAGAAAAATAATATCCAAGTTCATCAATTTGTATGGCAATTAATATTAGTTATATCGCACTGCCTCGTTGGCTCAGCGCTTAGACCCACGTTCTTCGTAATTACGACGCACACGTGCCCGCCTATCACAATAACTGTACAAATTTCGGTTGCTAAAAGAATAACAAACATACGCAATCTATCACGGTAAAAATATCACGTATACTTACTGCTCTCGGTGACCCATATATATACCTGGTGTTGATTTATGCGGTCCCTTAGATATACTAAAATCAACTCTAACTTTACGCCCGTGAATGTGAAGATGACGGGATGATTTAACAGCACAACCTGCATCTGATTTATGTTTATAATATACAAAGCCAAATCCTCTGTGTAGTCCCGTCTGATAGTAAAAGAAAATAAAATCAAAACTAGAGACTGAGAATATTCATGTCATATAAGTACCATTGCGTCCATCACTAATTCCAACTTGTTAATTTTCCCAAATTTACTAAATATTCTCTTTAAGTGTGTGGCTTCAGTTTTGTTACTTAATCCAAATACGCCAATACACCTATTGGGCTTTGGGTGGTCCTAGAACAGTTTAATTTAAAATTTACCATATTTTTGCTAATATTGTAGAACAGAAAAAAAAAATAAAATATATATAATTTGAGAACTTCACAACTTCTCAAACGGATAACTATTACATATAAGTTATTAATCATTCATTATATAATTAAATATAATTAATTATGATATATTATATCATTAATACAAAAACAAAAAACTGCAAATCTTTCAACTTCTTGACTTACCCTTGCTTCTTGCATTTTTCGTTCCTGCGAAAATCTCGCGTGATGTGAATTGCGATAATGCGCTTGAGATGATTCGCGATAATGTGCTCGAGATGATTCGTTATAATGCGAGCGAGATGATTTGCGATGATGCGAGCAAGACGAATTATGATAATGCAAATGAGATGAATATTGCGAACGAGGTGAGTCACAATGGCGAGAACCAGATGAATCGCGATAATGCGGGCGTGAACGCTTATCGCTAAGGGAGGGAGAACGCCTATTACTTGAGGAACGAGAACACACATTACTGGAACAGTGAGAACGCTTTCCTCTGCTGGAGCGAGAATGTCTTTCTTCGTAAGAGAGAGAACGACTAGCTCTAGGTGAGGAAGTGCGCTTAGCACAAGGTGAACAAGAACGCTTAGCTGTAGGAGAGCAAGAGTGGTTAGCTCTTGGTGAGCAAGAGCGCCTACATCTAGGTGAGCGAGAACTCCTTGTACTAGATGAGCGAGAACGTCTACCTGTGAGAGAGCGCGAACGGCTATCTCTGGAAAAATGAGAACGCCTGTCTCTGAAAGAGTACGAACGTCTATCCCTGGAAAAACGAGAACGTTTATCTCTATGAGAGCGAGAACGATGTGCTGATGACTCTGTTTCCAAAGATGGGGTAGATCGTCTTGAAAAGCCTGACCGGTTGCGACTAGAGCGTGAACGCCTTGAGAACGAGCGACATGATCTATCACTAATAAAAAAAAAATTTTAGAATTTATCATGTAAAAAAAAATTATTAAAATAAAAAAATTTTCAATATCTGCAAATAATTTTACAAGCCTCAGAATAATATTTATGACAATTTAAGGTAAACTTTTTTTATAACGTTTTGATTCGCTATTAATTGTTGCAAAATTTTGTCTTGTAGCATTGAATTCTTTCTCTTGACTTTGAAAAAATAAAGTTTGAATTGCATGAAAATTGAATTTTCCGAATTTCGGAAAACTTTCTTGTGTGCTTCAGTTTTTGCCTGTTGGAATTATACATTTAATGATCATTATTTAGTTACTAAAGTAATCAAAAAATGCAGATCTGTATTCCGTTTTTACGCAGTTAATAGGTTCTTTTGAATACAGCTTTTATTTAAATAAATATTGTATAAAAGTGGAGTAAAAAACTATAATAGCTATATATAATATATAGTTAATAGCTATACACCTTTATCAGAAATTTAATTTCATTCAATTATTAGCGATTAAATAGTACAGACAAATTTACTTACCTGGATTGTTCTTCATCAGAATATGAATGTTTATCTGCATACTTAACAACCGTCACTCCAGCGGAGTTACCAGCAGTCACGCTAACAAAGTTACGAGAGGTCTTACCAACTATATTTTCAATGGGTTGACTTCCGATTATAGTAGCGGTCTTACCAGCCGTTTGACCAGCGGTGTTATCCGCAGTCTTACCAGCAGTGTTGCGAATTGTATCATCAACAATTTTATCAGTGGTACTACCAGCTGTATCCCAAGCCGTGTTACCACTGGCTTCACTTGAAGTGTTACCAGTGGCTCCTGTAGAAATGTTACCAGTGGCTCCTGTAGAACTGTTATCAGTTGCCCCACTAGAAGTGTTACCAGTGACCCTACTAGCAGCGTTACCCACGGTCTTTCCAACAGTCTTACCAACGGTTGTATCATTTGTCTCACTATTAGTGTTACCAGCAGCCTTACGAGTGATCTTAACAGCGGTGTTACCAGCAGTCTTAACAGCAGCTTCACCAACGGTATTACCAACAGTTTTCCCGGCGATCTTAATTGAGATTGCCTTTGATTTAAAGTTTTCGTTTTCCATGCTACAAAAGTATTATAAAATTATTTTAAAATAGAGAGCATAAGAACATAACTGCATAGATCTAGATCACAACATAGAACGTAATAAGTATATGTATTACATTATAATTCATTCAACAAATTGTATGTTATATCTACTTACATATGAAATGAGATTTTAAGTTATTACAATGAACTCCTGATGTAGATATTATTATTAATATCTATATCAGGATTAAAGTTATTTTCGGATGCTCTGTAAATAATATATCAAGCACTATTTATAATTGAAAAGTATATTCAAAAATTGTGTTCATGTTTTTTAAATTTAGTTAAAGTCCATAAGATTAAGTAAATAGAAAGACTTACTGAAAATGGAAGTAAGGTTCAAATTTTTCTCTACATTTCTTGTAATTAAAGATATGATTTAGTTAATTGGCATAAAATTCATTTTACATACATAAATATTAATAAATTAAAGCATGAGTAGATCACAAATGGTCTATTTGAATTGAAAAATAAAAAAAATGAAAGATAAGTTGGTATATGGTATTAACAGATCTAGGCAGGTAAGTACGCAAACACGCAACCTGCCAGAGGAACATACTCGGTACGTACCTTAAGAACTTAAGAGAACTTAGGAGAACTTAAGCCAAAGCAAATGCACAACTAACAAAGCGAAGGAAAATTTTCTTGGGTGTGGTTGGTTGTGCATTTTGCTCTGACTTAAGTTTAACGGTACATACCGACTAACTGGACCTTAGGGCTGATCAAGTATATGTGTACCTTTTATGGTCTCTGATAACTCTTCCACTTTTATAGCGCAATAAAAATGATAGAAACTCCTAATTAAAAAATTGAGAGAGAGAAAAAACAAAATGTCGATTAAAACAGTGTTACTCAGTCATACTCAGTCCACGTTTGTGCTTTTTTGGACCAAATAATATGAAATTAAATTCCTTTTTTTTTTCAAATAACATAAAAATAAATTTCGTTTATATTGAAGCAAAGTCAAAAAATACAAAAGTAGTAAAGACAATACTGATATGACTCTATGCATAGCATGCACTTTGGTCATGCTCAAAAATGGCGTGAAATTGTCATGACTATTCGTTACAGACTGTCAGCATAATAGACCCTACATGGTTCTATAAAATTATTTCAAATTATTTGAAAACTTATGTTATATTACGTATAACTTTTAGACCATTCTGTTACATTGGGAACGTTTTGTGTGAGAACTTTTATTAGTAGAGATACGTCTGTTATATACGCGAACCCAGAAATAAGAATAAATTTCAAATTATTCCAGAACCTTTCTCAGTTTTTGTTAAGAATAAAAATAATGGAAGAAATTCTAGTAAGGTGTTGTGTGGTATTCCAAGTTCCTTCTCTTTCAACTATTGTAAATTGTTTAAACTACTGATGGCTAAGAAATCGATTGTAATGAATAATAATGAATTTGTCAAAAAATAAAAATAAAAATTCTAAATAAAAAATTTTTAATTGAAGCATGATTTTTTGGACTTTTCTAGAAGTTACTATACATAACCTAAAAAAATTTCACATCCATATAGAGAAAAAGTTTTTTCGGATAAATTTCTGTACCTGAATTTCTAAAGTGAAATTTCAAATTTTATAATATTCATGTAATTCTCGTCTATATTTTTTTTTAATTTGAAGGCCTTAAAGGTTCTTAATTCTTGTATATAAGACATTTAGTTTTTACTCACCTGAGACAACAAATTTTCACAGATTTAGAAAATAAAAAATATTTTCACTGATTTGTAAAATTAAAAAGATTTCTCAGTATTCTGTAATTCAAATTGGAAATATATTGAAAAATGAAGCAATGAAAGCAATATAATATGAATTCTTTGAAATTTTCAAGTTGAATTAATTAAAATCAAGACACTGCAATATTTCACTGTTATCTACGGAGGAAGATAGTTTCCGAATGAAGTTCGTCAAAAATTTAAGTTGGCTGCCATTTGCATTAAACCAGTGTTGCTTAAACGTATTAACAAGTGTTGACGTGTTTAATTATTTTGATGCAACTTATACTATGTCTACTATCTACCAACAAATATTGGTAACCTAATATTTAATAGTAATTAAATATTGAAACTAAGTCCAAGGAATAATTTAAAAGAAAGTATATAATCGCATCCATCCTTTGGACTCCAGTATAGCCTTATACTGGCTACAAACTATATCAGTTATTTTCACAGTATATATAGCACTTTTCCTAAAAACGGCACAAGTTGGATGACAGAACCTAATATATTACGTATAATATAACACATTATATATATAATCTGTAATATATATTGTATATAGAATATAACCCTATCTAAACCTATATAATTAAAACATTAGACTCTTCGAGCTTAGTTCAACAAATAAGTAACATTTTTCCGACGGATAAGAACGCTCAGGCGATATTAGTAAATCTTTTGTTCCCTGTTACACGTCCTGTTTCGATTTAATTCTAAATAGAATTATTATTTCATTAAACTACAAGGAAGAAAACCTCCAAGTGGATAGTTGTATGCGAAATATTCAAACAGTCAGGTAAACCGCCAGTGTCGCAGCCTTTTAACTGTCCAAAGCACAGATGCATAAATGGATGATAGTGCACTTAAATGGATGACAGTGCACTTGAAGTGAATATATTGGTATTGCTGTAACTTACAAGTTGAGTATATTATGCTTTGTTGATAAACATCGACTTCAAACTGTTCTTTCCTGGAAAGAAGCATCTTCTATTTAGTGAATGGATGCATTTTTTAAACGAAATTAAAAAATATTATAGAACGGGACGGGTAAACAGCTACTTTCTTTACTATGTACGTAAGTAATGTCAAAACATGACATTACTTATGCTCTTGTAGTTTCAATTTTGCAACCAAATGCCTACTTTTCTGATAAATTCGGTCAAAACAAGCTTAACATAACAATTTTGGACGCCAAAGAAACTTTAACAATACTTACTTAATTGGTGATTTCAAACGTGAGTCGTCCTTGGCCACATCGAATAGCCTCTGCCAGTCAACCCGATTAGTTGCTTGATGTCGCTAGTTAGTAATACCGAGCGCCCCCACATCGTTGATCGCCTGGTCCTTCCACCGAAGATGCGGATGTCCTCTACCAAGTTTTTCACCTGCGGGTACCGAATCAAACATCTTTCTAGCCGGAGCGCTTTCTTCCAATCTCACGACATGACCAAGTCAGTTAAGCAGCGGAATTTTGTCAATGTCGCGATATAGCTCATACAGCTCATCATTCCATCTGATTTGACATCCATCACCAACGCATAAGGGACCATAGATCTTTCGAAGAATTTTTCTCTCGAATGCTTCTAACGCCTTCTCATCACTGTTGGTAATTGTCCAAGCTTCTGCACCATACAGCAGGACAGGCATGATAAGAGATTTGAAGAGCGTGATTTTTGTTTGTCAAGGGAGGGCTTTATTTCTTAATTGCCTACTTAACGCGAAGTAACATCTGTTGGCACTAGCAGTTCTTCCTTCAATCTCCAGGCTGACACCATTTGACTTTTACAATATATTTGAAAAATATTACCAATTACGGGAGGAAAGTAAAGGAAGGAACCCTATATAAGTAATATAAATAATATTTCAATATAAATAATATAAATATTTAATATTTCAATAAAAATATTAAAAAAGAATGGGTTCCCTCAAAATGAAATTGTAATATCCGTATGTGTGACTTCAATACTGACAATACACTGTCAACTTGCGCTATACTATATATTTCTCATTTCCCAGTCTTACAGAATATTTGTTGTCAAAATTAGACTTCATCGCAGCTTTTATAACTTCCAACAAGCTTAAAACTTGTAGAAAAGAAATTTTACATTTCCATCTCTTAAATCAGATAAATAATTTATATATGTGAGTATGAGCAAAATGTACGAACTAAATATTCACAAGAAAAATATTTATTGCTTAACTACACATGAACAGAAAGTGTTAAATAGCCAAGTAATTCGTTCATCACTTCTTCATAGATGTGTAGCCTCAAAACACTACTCAAACACTACTATTCGCCAGCTAGAAATTGCACAACGCCAGGCTCTCAGAAGACTTTTTAAGGTACCACGGACCTCAACATAGATCCGATTAAAAACTATATAAAGGACAGAGGTCTGAAATTATTTGCGAAAACTGACAGACTTACCAGCACCGCGTTATCGAATCTTTGAATGGTTAAAGGCTCCTCGGGAAGGTATGCAGATCTAAGGTCAATTATTGCTTAGTCTGATGAAGTGATAAACAATAAACCAGTCAGGGCTTAGAGAGGGGTTATGAAGAAACTTCACAGTTAGTAGAGAGTGCTTAGTAGAAAGTGGTGAAATGCACTGACTCAATTAGCCTGAACATAATAATAATACACATGAATTAGGAATTATTTCTAATTGCTTTTTTTATAAAGTTGATATATTTCACATAACAGATTACACATATCTCGACATAATGCATGGTATATTTGAAGGACATGATATTGTTACATTAGACACTATTAACTGTAGAAGGCAAATATCGCCATTTATTACTTATCAGATGGACAACATTGTCCACTGAGTAAAGTTGATCCGGTTACCAATTCACTTTAATATAAAATAACTTTAACATATTAGAAGAAGACAAGATTTTATAGCAAACATTTTTTCTATATTTTTTTGTTATAAATAAAGATACAGGATTTGTGATTTATTTGAAACATGTAATTGTGGTCGTAATCCCACTATGTTTAACTTGTCAAAGATATTCGTATTTGTTGAATACTAAATCTGCAAAGATGTTATAAATATCAGTAGTAAAAATCAGTAAAGTCAAATTTTTATGAACCTTTCTTATTACGTCCTTACAACTGGATTTTTCAAATTGATCACATAAGTTAACTCAAGTCCTATGAAACTCGGGATGTGGTGTATTCTTAATTAATATGCAAGCATTCATGGATATTTTTAGTCGACGTTTACTTTACTTAACATAAATCTTTTGGTGGTGGTTTCGTTGGCACATTTCCTGGAGTAAATGTATCTGATTTGAAAGCCTCAAGTTCTTCATTAGTTAACAATTGTAATGGTGTATATAATTGAGTTGCTGGGATTATTGCATCAGTTAAATACTGAAACGACTGCTCCTGAGGTTGTTCCACCACCAACATTGGTTCACTAGATGGCGGTAATATCTGCTGCATTTCACTTTGAAAAAGTGTGTTAGTAGACTGATTTTGTTCACAATTTTGTATAAATTGATTAGAAAAGATGCTTGGAGTATTTGAATTAAATATATTATTTGCACCGTGAGATTCTTCAAATATTGATTTTGTGTATTGTAGTTGTTGTTGCTGACCAAATGCACCGAAGAATTGTTTTTGTGGCTCAACACTTGAGGCTTGTCCAAAATAATTTGAATTATTGCTCTGCGCTTGCATTCCATGATTTTGTTGTGAAAACAAAGAATTAGTTTGGGAACCACTAAAAATTGAATTTGAGTTCAGTACGTATGATTTTTTAAAAATGGACCCAAAACTCTGTTCTACAGACGACGAATCACCAACCGACGCAATATTTTGCATAGTTTTAAAATTACTAGCTTCAAAAATATTTTGATTAGTCTTAGTAATGCCACTCGTAACAGACTTGTCATTATATTCATAAATGTTGACTACCATTTTTACAATATCAGGAGTAAACTTCAAAAGCGCTTTCAACTTCTGCATTGCTTCCAAAAATTGCTTGTTGACGGCTTGATGAACCTTTGCAAAATCATTTATCTGATTACCTTTGTAATACACCGCACGAATTTCTTCAAACGATAGATCTTTAACAAAATCTGGTATACACGGTTTACCACTAAACGGTCCATAGCACGACAATAGCCACTGATTGCCATGAATTGCCTCTTGTATATCAGTTTTTATGATTTGTTCAATATCAATATGCTCATTACAACATCTAGAACCATACCAACACTGGCCACGCAAAAAATATTTACAAATTACCATTATGCCGTCAAATTACCACTAGATTGTTGTAAAAAGTAAGATTTAGTATTTAGAAATTTCTATCTATAATAAAATAACTTACTAAATACAAAGTAATGACAGAAAATATATGACTAGATATTATAAAAGACATTTCAAAAACAGGGTTGCTAAAATATGATAAAATAAAATAAGCGGATTTCTGTTGCTAGTTTATAAAACGTTTATAAAACAGAAATATTAAGCAATTTATTATCTTAAATTAAAGACAATCACATTTACTTAAAGTTTGACAAGGAATGGCATGAGCGACTTTTATCATTTAAATCAGCTATTTTATTGACTGAGTTATGATTTTAAAGAAAATAAATGCGGAAATTAAAAAAAAAAGTATTTTTTGAAGCAATCGATTTAATTTTAACATTACATTATATGAAATTATATACTTACGTTTCCAATTTATTGCAAGTAATATCAAAAAACCGACAACTCTGTTCCAGTAGGTTAAGCAGCTCTTGAGCTAATTACCGAATGAAAACGGATTGGCTTACCAACACCACGTTATCAAATATAAGAATGGTAACAGGCTCTTCGCGGAGGTATGCAGATCTGAAGTGAATTATTGCTTAGTCTGGTGAAGTGATAAACATTAATCCAATCAAGGCGTAGAGAGGTGTAATGAAGAAACCTCGTAGTTAGTAGAGAGTAAAAATGCTCAAATGCACTGTCTCAACTAGCCTCAACTAGCTTTCAACCTAAGAGTACTGTTGCTCCCATCCTGACAACGTTGTTCAATTAGATATTTTAAAATTAATGGTCGGTGGGTTTCATTTAGACATTCATGGTGGATTTATCAGAAGTCCTATTACACCAACACAATATAGCTTAATTAAATATTGAATGCGCAATATTCATATGCGTCATATACACACGTATGTATATTAGGTGTAATGCATTATTTTCTGCACAAACATTCTTTCACAAGAAGAGAAAGCTACACAGGCCTTTGTTGTGTCCCTTCACTTACCATGATATATGACTGTAGTGATAAATGCAACTCTAGCTGGCATTCTTGACGGAATGATAGTTTTTAAGTCACTCAGAAAGCTCAATGTAATGTAACAATTGAACAATAAAGTTAATTATATCTATCTTCCTTCCCTAACCCATAGCTCCATGACGGACTTTTTAACTCACTTTCTAGCAAAAAAACCTCTCAAGCCTCTAACGGAAGCCACGTCTTGCAGGTTGTGTTTTTTCCAATAGCATTTTGCTGATAAATTAAAATATTGTATTTGTTATTATTTCACTATTCTTTTATCTGGTTAATTAATTGGAATCATTCATTTGATTTCCGAAAACAGCGAACTACCTATTAAATTAATTAACAACGGAGGCAAAAGATTCCTTATAAAAGTTAAAAACAACATAATTCCTTTTCTGCATTCGGGGGGTTTACACAGTAAGTATTTAAAACTCAGCATAATTTTAATAAGGTTATTGTAAATATAAAGTTTATTAAATATTAATCTCGAATATAATGTGAAATATAATGGACATAATTTAAACAAAAGCGTTTTTACATGGCTTCCTCGTATTTTTGACTATACCATCTTTCTCCATATCCTGCAATTTCCTTCTCATATTTTAATATTGAAACTGTTCTGTTGCGTTTGTCTTATTGTTATTAATTAAGTAGCTTTTGTTATTCCATTGGTCATTAATACCAGGCGACATATTCTTATACATATATTTATATTTATAAAAGCATATTTTAAAATACATTTTTTATGTTGACACTGCTGGCCTCGATTAATGGAAAATCTTTATTACGAATTCCATATTTGCGTTGCAGTGCACTTCCCCGGGCATTGTTACTGACAGTCAATTTGAATTAACGACAATATTTGCGGTTTCTGCATGTTCAAGGATTAAGAGCTTTAAAGGAATTCGCATAATTTATGTACATACTTAAAGCAAAATTAATTAAAATTTTAATCCTGTATGTAAAAGAATTTAACACTTCCACTGTATTGCTTTTATGGGAGGCATTAAAAACCTTTGCATGGATAGTTGTTTGCTGTTGTTTCAGATACTACGGGGTTTACTTGTCCATAATACAATTCAGTTCATTGCTAATTTAAACGAAAGTTTATAAAATTTATTTGCTAATTTCCACAGAATATGTAGAGTAAAAATGCTGTCTACGTACGGGAATACTATTTTAAATAGATGCCTAGTACTATCTATTATTGTTACTGACTATAACTGATCTATTAGTCTATTTGACAAGTTTTACAGTTTAATCATATAAAATTCTTAAAGTGTTAAGAATAATAAATATTTTCCAACATTTTCATAACTTTCTTCTTCAAGTTCCAATATATTAATTTTATTTCAGACAGAACTATCTGTGTTCGCAGTGCAAATAAGTCACAATTAAAGCTCAGCGACTCCGGCAACTAAACAATGAAATATTTCTATCATAAACCTTGGCGTAAACTGTTTAGTATTAAATTTTCATAAGTTCCCAATTTAAGGCAGTTACGGTATTGCGGAGACATTCGTGCTCTAAAATTTCGTATAATTGAAACATAGTGCAAGTGGAAAATTTTTAATGCCTTCGTTAGGATTTTATCTTTACAAGAGTTGGCCACTTGTAATGTGTGCAGCTGGGATAAGGCCGGACTGTGCGCAGAATAATAAATTACTTAAGCTCGTTAGAAACGAGAATAGCACATTGTTATCTCTAACAAAATATAAAAAGTCCTGTGTGGCAGGCATAGGGAATCACTTCGTATGCTACGAGAGGGGGGATAACATAAAGCACTTAATAAATGCTTTCACAGAAGGGAAAAGGGAATTTAAATTAAAGTTACTTCAATTTAAATATTATCAGGACTTTCATCAAATAATTAAATAAAAAATTTTTGTAACTTAAATTTTTTAAATAATCTAAAAAATACACACGAGGTTTGTAATATGTTAGGAATTTGAAGTAATAGTAAACGATGAACTATGAATACTATGTTATATATTAAGGTCAGATTGGTTTAGAGTGGGAGATGTCTGTGCCAAAGCTTGGTTTAGCACAAATAAGGGCCAATTGTGATATCAAGTCCGTACATCATACTTGAAGACATACACATAGCTAAATAATAAGAAAAAAAGAAGAAATTTCTCTTATAGAAAGCTTTCAATATTCCATATAAAATTTACATTTACAATTTTTTTTTTGGAGATATATTAATCAGTAGCTCTCTTTGCTATCTTGATATAATAAATTATGGATAAGATAATCATATATTCAAATTAAGCTTAAGATATTTTACAAAGGTAAAATATTTTCTTTTAAGCAATTTTTTATGCTAAAAATAATAACAGAATCTCTTTTATAATTTTTCAATACACGAACCAATTAAATAAGTAACAATAAATATATCACATATTTCTTTTTATTAATAGACAGATAATGATATACAGCAACTTAAAAGATCTATTGTGCTACCCCTGGAAAGAGTATCCTAAGTTAATCAGCTCAAATTATGACTATTGACATATCTACAGCTCTTGATCTCAGACCATATCGGATTTAATGAAAATCGAATGAACGTATTAGACTCTTTTTCTTGCAACTTTAGGACACGAGCAGTTTAGACGAGCAGATCTTTCTCACCTCACTTTACAGAATCTGCAGATGTCAGTGTTTTTATGTTCTATCTTTAAAAGGTTATAGTTAACAGAAGCATATCCAGTACAAAAATTAATAAATAATCTCAATTCAGTACTGCGTAGACTTAGAAACCTGTCATTTTTGCAATGAACTCAAATGAGTTTTTGGACTGTCTT